AGTTGTATAATGAACTTTATAAGGAGGTATGTGAAGAAATGGTTTCCAGACTGTGACCCCCCCTCAAATATGCCAGGGCCTCCCAGGGGGCCCTATAGAATGGCTGCTGTAGAGAACCAAGCCACAAAACAGGGCTCTGACAGAGACATAGTGTGAGGATGGAGGCAAGTTCACAGAAGGAAAGGAACGAAATAGCCAGTGTGATAGGATAGTTGGAGCAGGCAGGAAAGGAGGTGTGAGATGATTGGTGGAGGAGAAAGAGCAGGAAGGGGGAAGGAGATAAAAAGGGAGAAGTAGGAGAAGCGGAGACAAGACAGAAAGAAAAGATATTGCCCCAGGTTGGAAGTGGATATGGATGGAAAATCTGTGTAAGTGGGAGAAGCTTATGGTACCACGGGAGGAGGTGGAAAGAAGAAGAAGAGGCACCACCGTGGTAACACCCTTTTACTGGGGAGAGAAGGAAGCCCGAGAGTAGGGTTGGAAGATTAGGGAAGAGAGAGCTAGAGTGGAGAAAGAAAAGGAGAGGGCGAGATGCATCTATATGCGTGAGAAGGAGAGAACACCAATCCAGGAGCCAGGGAGATTCCTCTATTGGGGGAGAAACAACCGGGACAATCCAGGATCACCCGAAGAGAGATTCCTGTGATGCCATTATCACCAGGGCTTCCCCGTTAACAGAGTCGGGAAACCCGGACAAGAACTTTGGGACACTGAGTTTCAAAAACTGTTCATTGTTCAAGACACTAACCCCTTCGGCACCCTCTGTTGAACCTTAAGGTTGATGTTGCCAGTTTCCTAGAAGTACCTGAAATGAACGTTGATGGTTTAAATGCAAAACCTGAGTGTGTGGTGATTGACCGTGGGATGATGGAGGAGCCGGAGCCAGAAGGCAGGTCCTCAGACATCATCAGTCTCTGATCAGTTGCTAATGCAGCTGTATCAGGAAGGCAAAGAGAGTTACAGTCAGAAACCTAGGGCAACATATGAGGCCCACAGAGAATGCACAGCTGGGACAGAACCGCTCCATCTTTAGAAATATCTTTTTATGCCACACTAGCAGCCACAAACAGGAATGTACAGTCCTGATATGAAGACTCTCTGCATGGTTGTAGGTGGTGTGTGTGTAGTAATAGGTGTCTTAAGTACTGCAGCCCAACATAGAACACCACCCTGATAAAATAGGTTTCCAATATCCACTGTATGGGGGTGTATAACATGTGGCTGCTCTTCTAGACATGATTTCTGTTTTGCAAGGTTTTTGGTCATAATTACTGACAACTTTATCTCAGTTTAAATGGCACTTCAAAAAAATCCTTTGTATGACAAAGGAGTTTTGTTGTACTCCCTCAACAAAGCTGTTCCTTCTTGCTCTTTGGTTGTTATATGGCAAAATCTAGTTCTTGGTTTCAAACTAGGGTAGACCCACTGAATCAGTGGGACTGACACAAGTGTTGAATTAACTAGTTTCATTAATTCAAATGTGTTCATCCATTCCGACTGCTAGTAAAGCACTGGTATGTTTGGGCTGTCTGCTTGAAATTATACCAGGGCATCATAAATGCAGTTCCTCACTCACATATACAAAGATGACCAAAATCTTGGATTTCTAATTAGCCTTGTTAGAATTTTCTGAGAACAATAAAGTCTGATATTTTAGTCTCCTTAAAATTTAGTTTATCCTGGTCCAGAGGAGATGCATGATTGCCTGTACAAAAAAACCTACAAAATTAAATTGCAAAAACTGATTGCTGTATTGGGTTTGGTCCATCTCTGTTTGAAACACTTCCATCTCTAACTGAAGAGGATAAATAAGGTGAAACACCCAAGTTAGCAGGTTTCCTTTTGCCTAAGGTTTAGTGTAAAATAAATATCTTTCTCTCTGCTATGCACATTGATGAGACCAAAGCGTTCTGAAAAGCCTTCTCTGAAGTATTAAATAAAACAATGTACTGTATAATAATATGAGCTTGGAAGTAACTTGCCTGTACTTACTAGCTACTTGCCATTGGTTCTATTATTGTTATGTTTGTTTGATTTTTTTGCATCAACAGGAACATAATTAAACTATGTTATGATTGTAAGTTGGTGAATTTTCTTTTTCTGGTATCATTGATTTTCCAGTTTTCTCTTTAAGGATTCTGGACTCTAAATGGTGGAGGAGGAATATCACAGGGTTTGAATTCTGTCTCTTGCTGTGCTTCTGGCTCTGTGCTGGGTGATAACAAGGTGAAGTGGAAGAGAATGTGTTATTCCATGCCCCAACAGATCACAGCATTTAGAGATGGGTTTTAGAAAAAAGGTAGATGAAAAGCAGTGAATTGTATCCAAATTCCAGGTTTTTTTTCCCTGTATCTTCGGCCAACAGAATGAGACCCTTCCCTCTCTCCCCATCCGCACTTTGCTGCTACTCTATGTGAGATACCCAGACAGTTTCCTACTCCTCTGAAGGCAATTTTAAGGTGCATGACAGGATCTGCAAGAGGAACAGTGTGTTGCCATTTTTGTAGGACCTGACAGAAACATATAATTGGATCTGGGCTTATATTACATTTTAAAAATGGGGACAGCAAAGAGTGCTGTTGTTGTTGTTTTAAAGATCGCTATGCCCTTCTTGTGACCTTAGAATTTTGATTCTGACTATTTTCTTGATAAAATTATGATTGCTAGAAGTATGATAGTGAGTGTTTAGTTATTAAAAGTAACTTTTAAATTTCTGAGATAGCAAAACAGATGGTATACTTTCTATACTTTTCTACTTAGTAGTAGTAAAGCCAGTTCAGTATGATCCTTGCGTGTATTTAGCCTAGGTGTGTCAATAGCAGAAATCACTGGAACAGTATGGAACAGAAGCAGGTCAAGGTAATATCTACAAACAACGGAAAGCTAACATGGATTTTTTTTAAACAAAAAGTATATGGTTTGTATCTATTTAAAAGTATTCGAAAAAGAATTAATCAATCTAGGGCAATGGTCATTTTGACAATGGTTGTAGTTAGGGTTGCAAAGGATTAAGCCATGCTTTATTTATTGCACATCCCAGCAGTCTTCTGTAGTCTTTTGCAGAAAGTTTGCAACAACAAGTACTTCAAGAGGACAAGCTTTAAGATAGCAAAGCTCAGTACCCCTCACCTGAGAATAGAAGAATGCAAGGTGTTGACTTGCATAGAGTTCAGCAAGTCACACATCTGGTCTAAATTCTCCCAGGCATCTAAGAGTTCTGCCTATATTTATCCTGAATTACAAGGGGGGAAACCCAGTGGTCTGGCATCCTGTTCCTTGGAATTATATTGTGTTATAAAGATGTGCATATTTCATAGAACTGTTAGAAGTTCTTCCAAAAAGAACAGACCCATCAGTTTTAACAGATGGCAGCATCCTGTGCGGGGTGATCATTATTGTGATCCCTGGAAGAAGCTTTTGTTTCAAAAAGAGGAGATCTGCTTTGAATGTGTTCAAGGCAATGGAGTCTTTATCACTTGGCAGGTAATTTGTATGTCTGAAATGTCAAGGATGACAGAGTAAATCTGAAAAGGGTAATCATCTGAGGCAGTTGTTCTATTCCTGTGGTTTCCCCCCTGCTGTTTTGATTGTCGGAATGGCAGCAACACTAACATATGTATTCCAAATTAGAGCATTAGAAATGGGGACTACAAGAGAATGTTGGCAGGGCATCCCCAGCCCTTAATCTTACAGGAGCATTATTGTTCTGCGCTCCAATGAGGTTGGAATAGAAACCAAGCCAGGCTTTTTTAGAAGGTTGCAGCACAAAGGTGATAGGTAAAAATGTATTCTCTCGCCATCTCTGAGCAAGGGTGATAAAAACTGCAAAGTGTTCAGTGTGCACATGAAACTTGATGCGCTGTACAATAAGTTGACAAATTGGTGCATGTGTTTATATTTTAATGTCTTTGCCACTCCAGAGATTATGGAATTTCACAGCACAGTATCTTAGGTTTTAAAAAAATACCAGGGGAAGTTAGTGGGCATCTTAAATGCCAGGAGCAGCGACATGCAAAATATGGCAGACTTACACCCAGTTGTGTTGAACCATTGGAGTCTACGTTGTTATCAATTAAGAAGTTACTTGCACTTTGTTTCTGTTTACTTATAATATTGTGTGTTATTTCATGCATAGTGAGATGGTCCTTTATGTGTATGTGATGTAGTTCTGCTACAGCAACGATTTGAAAGCTTGTTCCCATATGAGAAATTGAGTTTCAGCTCTGACGTGTAGTTCAGCCTTCTGCTGCAATATGAAAGGCTGATAATTTCATTTCATTTTTGTGGCATTGTTTACCAGTTAAGAATAAACCAGACAAGCTGTCCAATTATTTTGTTATTGTTTTCTTGCTAGAGAAGAGGGTCCATTTGAAGTTGGTGAAGTTGGTACATTAATTTTTTCTGTCCTTTTGGTGATTTTGGTAGGAAAAGGAAGAACCAAGTGGCTACTTCTTAGATCTGCATCTGGAACTGACATGATTCCATGTAATATAGCATTTGAAACTCCCAAAACAACTTCACATTTTAAAATCTTGTACAACCCAAGAAGAACCATATAAGCAGTTGTGCTGTCTAGTGTGAGGTTGAAGGAGAACAAGAGATACAGGGCTTCTTAAGTCCAGTTTGAAAAATTAATGGGGTAGGTAAGCATTAAACCAGAAGCTCAGTGCTTCATAGTTCAGGCTATTAACCACTTTGGTGTGAAACTACATTAGTTCAGTAGCATCCACTACAGGAATTAAATGTTGTGCTGGGTTGTATATTTCTTTTCTGGCAAATAATAAAGCCACACCCATATGGCCCCTTTATATCTGTAATAACCCAGGAGTACTCTGTTTTATCTGTTTCATCCCACTAATTTAGATAATTGGCTCATTTTAAGAGACCTGGAAAGATATTAAACTATGGGAAAAGCTGCTGATCATTTCTTGATAATTTGATTATGAATTTTGTATTGACGTTTTGGTGATGATGGTGTGATGCTTTATTTTCCCTTTCAGGTTGGGAAAGAAACAGTTCAAACAACTGAAGACCAGATTTTGAAGAGAGACATGCCGCCTGCATTCATCAAGTAAGTAAATAAATATGATGGTGTGAGGGTTCAGTAGTTACCTCAGGCTTACCAGACACAAACACGGGAGTCTCTCGATCTTGGAAAACAGAACTGGGGTTTATTGGAACATCAAATAAAGAGGCATCGACATTAAACTTGTCATTAGTCTTTTCTCTCATCGCCAACGGGTCAAATGAGGGTGTCCATGCTTCTTGTAAAAAGGGATTGAAACTAGGTTCATACCAAGGTCCTTTGGTAAACGGGGTAACTTCACCTGGTACCTTCCCTTCAACGTCCACCTTAATCAAAGATAATGTCTCTTCATCTCCCCTCTCCAAGTCGAAGGGGTCGCTTCCCTCAGCATAGGGGTCCCAGGGTCCTGTAAACACCTCCTCTGGCGAGCCTCCTCCAGTTGCCATGCCCTCCTTTCTCTTTCTTCCTTCTCCACTCTCTCTTTTTCCTCCCTCAAACGTCTCCTCCACTCCCTTGCCTCTGTCTCACCCCAGTACGACGGTCTGGGGGGTAAACCCCTTCTTCTTCTGTAATCTGCCTCCTCCCGAGGCACTTTTACCCTCTCACTTCTCCCTGTCCAGGGATCTTGTACCCAGATCCATTCCCATCCCCCCGTATCTTGTCTCCCTCCTCTTTCACCTCCCCATGCCCCGCCTCTATTAACGGTCTCGCTGCTACCCGGGTTTCCGCTTTTTCTGTCTGGGTCTGTGTAGCCACAGACATCCTCTGTAGCCCCTGTTCCAAGTCTCCTGTGTCTACCCCCTGGTGTCTGACCGCGACGCATGAAGTCGGAGATGCTGTCTGTGTCTCTTGTTCTCTCTTAATTGAGGCCGACACTCCGGCGAGGACTTCTATTGCCTCGCCTCGGGTGTCACAGATGGGTGTTGTGATAATAGTTTCAGAAAGTTTATGGCCTCATCAGAATAGTTTGGGCTGTTGTCCCCTTCAGATTGCAAGAGAAACCTCACATGACTGAAGCATTTACAATTTCCGGAATCCAGCAACCAGCAAAGGGAATTGAGACTTCTGGGAGTTGTAGTCCAGAAAAGTAAATGCTGTACAAAACTGGCGTGGAAGTGTCCAGTTGTGGCCTCATTGTTTGGCAGACCTTTGCTTCTGCTGTGAAATGGCATAGCCCAGACATAGATAGAACACTCTGGTGAGAACAAGACCTTCATCCAAATTTTTAATATGGAATATTTTTTTTTAAAGAAAGAAATATGAAACTTCTTTGTATTATTAATTTTGGTTAACATATACTGGACTTTGTAATGTTGTCATGTTGTTGTTGTTACGTGCAGTCAGTTCACCTCTGACTTACGGCAACCCTATGAATGAGTGATTTCCATAATGTCCTGTTCTCAATGGCCTTGCCCAGCTTTTGTGAACAAGAGGTTGTGGCTTCTCTTATGGAGTCAATATAGAGCAGTGGTCATAGCTCCCTACATACATCTTGAACGTTTTCCGAGATTTGTTTTCACAAATCACATTTCTCCTTCTCCTTCTTGTAGGTGTAACCCTCTCTCTTTCTGGGCAGAAAGAATTAGCTGTAGCACCTCCCCCTCCTCTCCTCTCCTCTCCTCTCCCAAGCCCTTGCCATTTGCTTGCCTCAGGTTTCATTTGACACTTGAAAACCAATTGACTGGCATTTGTAATTAACTTCATGCATCAGTTCTGAACATGTAATGATTTTCTTTTCTGAGGTCTTCAGAGCATAATAATCACTTTCATTATCTTTCAGACATTTTCCTTGACAGTGTCAAATACCAACTCCTTCCTGAAAAGGTCATTGCTGGCAATTCTCTCAATAGCACATGCTATTTATTACGAATGTGTACCCATTACCTAGAGGACTGAATATTTTGCCAAATTGTTGTGGAGAGGTGGAAAGATAGAAAACAGAAAGAAAGCTTGAAATCCATGGCTGGGACACATTGCGGCTCAGACATACAGATACAGTTACTTGGGTGGAAAAAGTAACTTACATGTGTGAATCTTTCTGAAAGTCTGATTGGTGAATTGTTTATGAATATGTGCTTGAGGGGACCAAACTTAGTTTTTATACAACTTTAAATATATGGCATTTTAATTGCTTGAAATTTTTCATTTAAAGCAGCAGAAGAATTGCTTCTCTTGGGAAAATCAGCAGAGATGGAAAAGTGATTATGCCTGCTATAAAGCATACAAGGATTTTTCTGCACATCTGGGTACTAGAGTTAGAGATGGGCACAAAATCGATGGTTCATGCTGGTTAATTTAGTGGCAGCACTTCAAAGCCCCACTTTCTCTACCCACTTTCTCTGATGGGTGCCCACAGAGAGGCAGTGCCTGGACGATGCAGGGTAGGGACGCCAGGATTCTGTCTCCAAGTGTGTGCCCACCAGAGAACATAGGGCTATGAAGGGCTTAACACCTATTTGGCTACTAAATGAACTGGCACAAACCACCAAACCACGGCTTTATGCCTATCTCTAGAGTGGTGCGCTGCACTTTGGTGAGTGATGGTTAAGCAGTTGGATGCTGCCAAGTTTTTCCTTGCCTTCTCCATGCCTGGGCAGGTGTTCTCCCTTCCACATGCCTTATCTGTGATTAAGGATTACATCAACACTTGCATCTATTATAGGGTAAGACCAATCGGGGTCTTAATGAGGGATCCTTAATCAAATCCCTGAATGCCCCTATTTAAAGTGAATGCACCTATTTATGCCCCTTATTAAAGTAGGCATGTGAAAAATCTCATAATTTAGACTCAAGGTTGTTGTCCTAGGAGGAATAATCCTTTTGTTCTTGTAGTCTCTCATCAGTATAAGTTGCCTTTCATAGTTACTGGCTTGGACCAGTATCCACTGCACAATTCAGAGAGAATGGGGAACTTTCCTGCCTCCCATGTACTGTGACACCACTTCACGTCAGTCACATCCATGGCTAATTTTAACTTGGAAAAACTCCAGTTGTGCTTCTCCCATACCTACGTGTGTCTAAGCCCACAATTATGGGAACCAGAAGTTAAATTGAAACAGTCACCATCACCTGGTTTTTTTTTTACTGGGGTTCGTGTCCGCAGCATTGATCCTGCATAGATCTTTAGATCCCAGCATCTGCTCTGTTCCTTCTGAAAATGTCTCAGTTTGCGCAGAGGCAGGAAATCTTTGTCTGGGTTCCAGATATGGTGGTTCACCTTTCTGAACCCTCCTTTGTATAAAAAGCTAGTGATGCATAAAAACAATTATGTCAGAGAAGAGAGGAGTCCGAAGCCTATCTTCTTGGCACCATATTCTAGATTGAGAGATTTAAATATTTTATTTGGATGGAGCATAGAAATGTGGTCATGCGAATTCCCACCTGTTGGCTGAAGTGCTGTAGCCCAAAGCCAGCTTGAATATCTCAGTGAAAGCTAAGCTATTAGGCATTGCTTACATTGGAACTGTACCAAGCGTATGTAGCAATTGAGGCTCAATTGCTGATAGCTTCTTTAAGTTTCAGTAATCATGGCTTAGAAAAGTGATGTCAACTATACAATCATATTGGTTGCATATAAAAAGTTAGGCAGGCCAGGGCTTCTTTGAAATAAATAGGTTTACATTATGAAACTGGTATGTAATACAGAAGAGAATAAAATAAGTGTTCATACTTACAGAAATAATGTTTTGTTTTTAGATGCAGAGCTATTTATTTAAAGTATATTTTTAAAAAATCTAGAAAGGACATATATGTTTTTTAGCACTTCTGCAGTGACATTTAGAAAATCTTCAGAAGGTCTTTAAAACCAGCCAAGCAAATTATATTTAATCTTTTGCTAAATTTAGCTTGTAGATATGATGTGGTACTGTTCATCTATGTTACAGCTTAATTTGCACATCTAGGATTCTGCTATACGTGGCAGTCATCTGTCTAAAATATCATTTTGTGTGTTTTTATGGAAGAACGTCAATTAGTTAATTAACTAAAATATTTTTACCTCACCTTTCTCTTTAAAAAGGACCCAAGGCAGCTTATATAATTAAAAGACAATGTTTAAAGCTAAAAACAGTAAGTATACAAATACTAAAAAGGATCAAAGAAATACCACACTAAAAATGGTAAACAAAAGCAACACCAAAACCACATTTGAATCAATAAGGTCCATTTAAAAACCACACATAGGCAGCCAGTCATTAAGGGAAAGCTCATGTAAGAAATCTCAGTTAATTTAAATTAAACATTACATGATTACCATAATGAGATTATGACATCATCCAGCTTGTGCTGCATAAAATTGCACAAGAGGATTTCAGCCAGTGCAAAGTGGGAACATTAAGATCACTTTCTGGACTTCATGTAAGAACGATGAGGAGCTTTCTGTTACTCTTTTTCACTTTCTTAATTTGTCAGGTCTTCTGAATCCAGTTTGTAATTTTCTGAGAGATGGTTTAAAATAAACTATTCTGTACATTTCACACTTGTATGACTGAGCAACCACACACACACACACACAAACAAAGATGCAGGAAGGTTAGTATGTTGCATGAAGTACTTCCCTCTCAGGAGTCAACCTTTAAACCGAAAATAGTTTCTAAATAACAGCCACATGCATTTGAACATAACATGATATTTTCCCTAAGTACTGGATTTCAAAGCCGCAATAATACTTTAAATAAAAGTCTGTTTATTATTATTTTAATTGAAATTCAGAGGGTAGTGATAGGAGTAAATAGAGGTTATATTAAGCAATCTGTGCATTGCATAAATGAGAATTCTTGGTAAGAAATGGGTTGCCCCATCTTTTGTTGTCCCACCCTTTCTAAGTAACAGAACCGGCAGTAATTTTTCTTTTGTAATTATTATTCACAGGGTGGAAAATGCTTGCACAAAACTTGTGCAGGCAGCTCAGATGCTCCAGACAGATCCTTATTCAGTACCTGCTCGTGATTACCTTATAGATGGATCAAGAGGTATTCTTTCTGGGACATCGGACTTACTTCTCACGTTTGATGAAGCTGAGGTGGGCTCCCTATATGGCATATACGACATGGATTGGGTGTTTCAATACTGATCTGCAATTTTCTGCTTTTATAATATTTTAGAAATATTAGCTAACTTTAGGCGCAAAACAAAAGTGTTTATATACTGCCCCATAATGCTTAAAGCTCTCTCTGGGCAGTTCACAGTTTAATTATGCAGGATGCACATTGCTTCCCACCCCCAGCAAGCTAGGTATTCATTTTACCAACCTTGGAAGAATGGAAGGGTGAGTCAACCTTGAACTGGCTACCTGAGCCCGGGTTCGAACTTGGGTTGTGAGCAGAGTCTTCACTGTAGTAGTGCAGTTTAACCACTGTGCCATGAGGCTCCTCTAATCAGTTCTGTGATTTGATTTAGAATGTCATTTTCACATTGAAGAGTATATGATAAGCTTTCACTTTCCAGAAACTTGTTTCTCTTTGAAATACAGTAATATATCACATTGGGCACGTTGTGAGAATGGCTGATGGTCGGATTCCAAAGGATCTCCTATATGGAGAATTAGTGCAGAGGGAGACCACAGCTGCGATACAAGGATATCTGCAAGCGGGATCTGAAGGCCTTAGGAATAGACCTCAACAGATGGGAAACTCTGACATCTGATCGTTCAGCCTGGAGGCAGGCGGTACATCACGGCCTCTCCCAATTTGAAGAGACCCTTGTCCAGCAGGCCGAGGCAAAGAGGAAGTCACAAAGGAAGCAAAACCAGGGAGCTGGACAGGGGACAGATTGGAATTGTCTTCAGTGTGGAAGAGATTGTAACTCTCGAATTGGCCTCCTCAGCCACGCTAGACGCTGTTCCAAGTCCTCCATACAGAGCACGCTACCATAGTCTTTCGAGACTGAAGGATGCCTACATTACATTAAATGAAAATAAATACATTGGAAATACTTTCAGTGTTTTTGTATTTTTCTCAGTGCTTTATAGTAGGTGCTATGGAAGTTCATGAGAAAGGGTTGCATTAAATCCCAGCATATGAAGGCTATTGAATATGATTGGCTTCTTGATTTGTTAGTGCTCAGTGCTCAGAAATTGTACCATGACTTACTGGTTTCTTTGAAAGTAATAATTCTTGCTTTTTCAAAGCATTAAAGTTTCTTTCATCTATCTAATCTGGTACTATGTTTGCAAGCTTCCATTTTCATGCTGGAAGTGTGTGAGATTCTATAGAGAATCTGCAGTATAAAGATGTTCTTTAGTTAAATGTGCAATAGTCCTCCCACGGTGTAAATCATTTGACACTTTCACAGTGTCAAACCAGTTGTTCAGTACTGACTGCATACACTTATTTTAAGAAATTGTGCCTCCATCTCAACAAAAATAGGCATTTCTGTTTGAAAAAGCGCGATAGAAAAGGAATCTGGGAGATCACTTCTGCTCCTTTGCGTGCAGCATTCCTGTTCATTTCAAAGTGGGCTGAATGTGCACAGCAGAGAACAGATGGCAGATACAGGCCTTCACCCAGCAGTGTCACTGTTCTGGAGCAGGTGTGGGCAGACTGTGGGCAGCATCCCATACCCCCTCCCCATTGTAAAATTGCCCCAAAACGTTCATAACCATTGCATTTAAAAATGTAAACAGGACAGGGGGGAAAAAACTGAAAATGCACATTAGCCCCCCCCTGAACCCCATCCACTTTGCCCTGAAGATGAACATATCAAGAGCACAGGGCAGGTTTTGTAGGCTGCCTGTATGACAGCAGATGGTTTGCAAATTTTGTTTTTAAATCTCAGCAGGCCTTTTACTTTGATCTTGTGAGAGAAGGAATATAAACCTAATTCTTATGTTTAAGGTGCGGAAAATCATCCGTGTCTGCAAAGGGATTCTGGAATACCTAACTGTGGCAGAGGTGGTGGAGACTATGGAGGACTTGGTGACGTACACAAAGAACCTGGGGCCAGGTTAGACATTTCCATTATTCCTCCGTATATTCTTGTGCTGTTTTTCTCCTCAGCTGCTGGTAGTCTGTTCACAGCCCTGATATAAATATATCATTCGGTCTCAGGCAGTTTTGTATGAAGATGTGCTGCTAGGGAGAGTAAATAAAGTACTATAGGGCCACCCTATCCCCTGTGGATACCACAGTACTACTGTAGAATTTCCTGGCTTGGTCTGGGGATGTGGCAAGGAGTAGCAGTTTGAATAAGCATGTGAAGTGCTGCACTCGAAGGTTATTTATGCAAAACGTTTTGAGCTATAGGCAATCTCCTCTCTGTTCTGTCGGTGACAAGCTATTGGGGTTGTGGTGAGAAAATGACCACATAGTGTTGCAAGTGTTCCTGTGTAACACTTGGAGGAAGAAGTAGTTGCTCTCATTTTTAGGAAAGTCAGTCAGAGCAGGAGGACTGTCACTAGTTGTGGTTTGATGACTGAGACGGAGAGAGCAAATGAGCCTCTGGAAGTCATATGCTCGTTTTCCTAATGCAAATGCCTTTCCCCTCCCCATGCATGTATAAACATTGGGGGGGGCGTATAACAAAAGATCTGAATGTTAACACAGATGAGGTGAGTTTAATGCTTCCTCTGCCTTATCTGCCCATAATATGTTGCCTTTGGGTACTTTTCTTTCCATCCAATTCACTTGCGAAAGCTCTCCTCTCTGGCATGCATTCTTCAATGTTAAACTTAGCCACTGCTAGCACCCCCCTCCCTTTAGATATGAAGGAGGCAGATATGTGAATAAACAAATGTGGTTGCCACTATCGCGTCCATTTTGACCATAATAGATGGTTGAGAGGAGTGTAAGGAGTGAAGCATTCCTGTGGTATAGAGCATCGGTCCCCAACTGTTTTGGAACTGCAGACCGGCTGAGCCTCTGAGGAGGGCGGGGCACCCCCATGTGCTCATGTGTGCATGCGCAAAGCAGTGGGAGAGCACACGCATGCCCGCCAGCACTGGCGTGAGCATTTCTCCCACCCCTTTGCACATGTGCAGGAGCACCTGCACACGGCCCGCACGTACGCCTACCCCTTTGCATGGGCGCTTGGGCACTCAGGCGCATGCGTGCAGGGGTGGAAGAGTGCTCACGCCAGCACTGGCACGCACGTGCATGCACAAAGTAGCTGTGGGGATGGGAGTGCATGGGGGGCAGGAGGACTCTCTCCGTGGCCTGGTCCGACTCAGGCCATGGACTGGCACTGGTCCACGGACTGGGGGTTGACGACCCCTGGTGTAGAGAATTCAGGCTGGAATGCAGAAGCAGTGGGAAGAAAGGCATTCTCTTAGTGGAGTTGATTTGTCATCTCTCCCCATAGAAAGGAGGTTAGGCTAGAGCAAAGGATTCTCCAATACCATTTAAAGTGGAAGTATGGAGAGAGAGAAAGAGAGATGAGAGCAGGGAAAGAGGCAGGCATACCTATTCGTTCCAAGCAGATGCAGAGATTTTAAGTGTAGCCCAAGACTGTGGAATGAGACTCTGTCGCTTGAGGGCCAGAGGCAGTGTAAAGAATTGTCCCGTGCAGCTGTTTAAAATAATTAATATATCGTAATGTCAAAGGCTGATTTAGTTTGAGTGCTTTGAAGAGGTCTTGTCTTGGAGGACAGTGATTTTTACAGCCTCCTCTTGATTAACTTCATAATCATATGGTAGTTGATAAACAAGGTGGTTTTGTTTCTAAAGCCCTAAATTCCCAAGGCAAGGCTGGATTCTGTATTTCATCCTGGTGGAATTATCTATTCATACAGTGTTTTTGTTGGGTGATGTTTTTTGCTAGCAGATTCTTCTCCTCTGGTATCAGATTAAAACAAAAACAGTAGCAACAGCAAACTTTTGTCACTGAGCGGTGTCTGAAGCCTGCAGAATTTGTTGTTGTTACTGTTTTCAATGTATATACTGCCCTTTCGTGCTAGAGCACTCTGGGCGGTTTACAGCATAATTATTCAAGGAACATTTTGGTACGATAAACATATTCCGTTCACCAGTTCTGCTCCATACTTACTGAAGCCTGTCTTTCTGTAGCTCTGTCCTGAGCTTTTAGGGTGCCAACTCATGTGAATTGGCTTTCTTTTTCAGACTTAATCTGATTTCATTTACGGTAATCTGGTGTTTTTAATGCTCCTGTGTTCGACACACCACTTACTCACAGACTCCTTTATTGGATTTTCAGGAAGTTTGGTGGCCTGAGGTTCATGAAAAATATCTTTCTAATTCCCCAGATTAAATTCATGATGATGGTTACAAATTAGTGTTACTGCTAGTATATTATGCTGCTAAATATATCCATTTGTGTTAAAATCTCATATACTGATCTCTTATATCAGATACCTAATTCATACATTATTACCCCGCATTCCTTCCACAACATACAATTATTGGTTATGCTGGCTTGCATTTATGTTTCTTGTACCAAGCACATTGGGTTATTTACATAGAATAATTTTGTAGATAATATTTTGCCTAGCTCAGATCTTCATGGGATGTAATTTTCCTTGGCTGGATTATAGTTGACTTGTGATTTCCTCCATGTCCTTTTGCTGCTACCTTATTTGACATGACCTTGTCTGGCATGGAATTCAATAATATTTTGACTGCTGTCTCCTGAGAGATGTGCAGACATTGGTTCAGAAAATAAATATAATTGATTTACTAAACTGGGAATAGATTTATGTCTGGGAGTTTCAAGATGTAGCCTCTCCATGGAGCTGAAATGCTTTCTGGGTAGACTTGATCATGTTTCAGCCTGACATATTGTTTAATGGGGGGGAATTGAAACAGAGTCTTGTGTATTTAGAGAGAGCTGCCAATGTTTGCAGCAGAGCGAGTATTGACTATTTTGACTGGAAGTGGCTCCCTCGCGTCCCTAGGGAGGGAGATGTTTTTGGGGACATCTCCCCAAAGACATCTCTGGTTAAAATCTTTTTAACCAGAGATGGATCGGAGTTAATCCTCAGTATGCAAAACACAATTTGCTAGGGAATTATGATCCACCGGTGGAGCATGTGAAATAGCTAGGAGCAGCATTAGGGTTAGTACAAACTGTACACTACTTGATGTCACTGGGTTTGTTAAGTAGCTCACCTGGATAGCTCAGAACATTTTGAAGTTCTGCCTGTATTTTCTGGTGCAAATGAGTTGTGTGGTATGAATATAGATCCACATCAGATAATTTACCACTGTAATCTCAATACTCTAGCAGCATTAAGGACTGAAGGATGGAGTCATCCTCATCTAAATTGGGATATAGTATAAGTGTAACCTTGTGAATCTTTTGTTTAGGAAATCATGCTTGGTAAATAAAAGGAGGGTTGGTAGGGAGGAGGGCAGGGCTTCTGAATTGCACTACATTGGGAAGATTGCATAGTCTTTTGGCCTGGAGGATAATATCAGAATAATAAAATATGCATGACCTTATGGTTCCTTAATCAATACATTGACTGAAATCCAGTAGGAAGTTGCAGTTAGAGTAGGCCCATTGAATCAAATCCCCTGATTCAGTGGGCCTACTGATATGTAAATTGAATGTAAGAGAGGCAGCCACATTGCATACTTAAGTAAGTTCTTGGGACAATGCTTGATGTTTATGTCAACTGTTTAATCTGCTTCATACAGATTCCCTGTATGGGGAATACATTCTGGGATATATTGACGTACGTTCTGGGATATATTGACATGTTGCTTCATAATAGGTGTAGCCTCCAGACTAGTTATTCTTAATTTGCCTAAGCACGTATATGTTTCTGATACAAGTTGGTTGTAGTCTTTGCTTCCTTTAAGCACACATTTCTTCAAAAGTCCAAAACACCAGATGTTGCTAACTTGACAGCTTCTTCTTAATTGATTACTTTTTAATATTTTAAACAGCAGTTTCCATCTAATTCAAAAACCACATGATTTAATATTCCTCTGTGCAGATTGATCCTCTTTTGTATATCAATGAACATGGGGAATACTGAGTCATCTTGCGCAATGTCCTGGAATGTATATGGAATGGCCCAGTCTACTCTCAGTTCCTTTCCCGCCCATCACTTGCATGAGGGGGAAATCTACCAATTCCTTGTGTAAGCAGGAAGGCCTGGTCAAAGCAATGGAGTGATCTCCGGCTTTTGTAACTGCAAGTCAGATATCAGTGAATCCAACATAGGGTACTTTGGCTGTGTAGCCATTATGCTTGCTGTTTGCAAACAGGACTCTGACTATTGTGTTTTGAATTTACTTAGTAAATGATAGGATTTCTGTGCTTTCAGCAAGACCATGTTTGAAAGGGTCATATGACTATTCTAGTACCAGAAGCTGTGCTAGTTCTAAATCAGTGTTTGATGTCAGTGGTGGACTGGATAAGGGTAAACAAACTGAAGCTTAATCCATACTGGACAGAGGTGCTCTTGGAACTATTGCAAATGAAAGGAACATCAGGAAATAGGCGTTTGGTTTTTTAGAATCACATTATGTTTGAAGACAGAAGCTTACTATCTGTGTGTACCCCTGGATTTAGTCCTGAATCTGGATGCCCAGTTTTAGCAGTGGCTGGGAGGACATTTGCATTGCTAAGGCCACGCTCCAACTTCACTCGTTTGGGAAGATATTTCTTTTGGTTGCAATACCGCATCCCCTAGTTAGCATACCTTTTGGACAATGTACTCTAAATACATAGAGACTGCCTTTAGAAAGTGTTCAGAAGCTTCATGTGGTCCAAAATGGAGCATCCAGGCTATTAGTTAGGGCAGATTACAGGAGATACGTGTGTTACTTCCTTGTTACAACAGCTCCACTATTTTCTAGACATAATTCAAAGTGTTCTTTATGACATTTTAAAGCCATGCGTATAATAATAATAATTGCATGCCATTAAGTCAATTCTGACTTATGGTGACACTTTTCAGAGTCTTCTAGAAAAAATAATACACAGGCTGTCTCTACTCACAGGAGGCATAGTGGGGAATCAAACCCCTGATCTCTGGCTCCACAGCCAGAAACCTAAACCACTGAGCTATCTAGGCTGTATTGTTCCAGATTGTATTGTTCCTTATAAGCCTCCTTGTGTTCAAAGATACTAAGGGGAGTCTTTTTTCTTAGTACCACCATGAGAAGCAAGTTTGAAGGGGAAGTCAGAGAGAGACTTCTCAATACTCAGTCCCTGGCTGTGGAACCTGCTTCTGAGAGAAGCAAGGTTGGTTTCTCTCTTTTCTTTCCAGTGGCAAGTGAATATATTTTTTATCTATGCAGATCCTTGTAAGCCAATCTGTTGCTGAAGGGGTTTTTAATCGGCTGGATGCTATCTGTTGCTATTATTACTGTGTTTCTGATAGTATTTTAATTGATTGCTATACTTAGAAAATCATTTTCAAATAGCATTTAATATTGATAGCTGCTTTTAGTGCTTTTTTTTGGCAGAAAGGTGGAATGTGAACTTAATAAAATAAATATTATAAATAAACAATAGCCTTATCCTTTCCTGCTTGAGTCTGGACAATTAAGGATGAAATGTTTCACTTACAATGGACAGAAAGCTGTGTAGTTTTCATGAAGTAATTGGCTTTTTTTCATGTAGGAATGACCAAGATGGCCAAAATGATTGATGAACGACAACAAGAATTGACTCACCAGGAGCACCGGGTCATGTTGGTGAACTCCATGAACACTGTCAAGGAACTGTTGCCAGTCCTTATTTCAGGTAACTTTCTGCGTGATCAAAAAGTTATTGCAACGCATCATACCGAGTGTACATAGCTTGTAAAATTATTTGTCAACATGCATCTGTGCCAGTAGATGCATGTTTAGGGCTCTTCAGAAATAGAAGCTTCTTGTACAACTTTGAAATGAACTGCTGACACTAAATGTGTAGTTTTATTTGTAGCTGTCTTGGAGGGAGAGTTGTGCCTCCGAGATCCCAGTCTGAATGTCCTGCATATCTCCTATTTAAGTTCTGTGAGTTCTGTGAGCTATCCATCTCCTTTTTAAGTTTACTGAGGCATATGAACTAGTGAGCTATTTATATTTGATTCTATGCGTGATGTTTGCTTGTAAAACACAACTGCAGTTGTGGCTGAGATTTTATGTGGTGGGACAGATTGAGCTCCTCCATGAAAACAAGGCCCAAGTCCGAAGTGGGTGACATTTAGCTCCCAGACCACATGCAGCACATTTCAAGAGCCTTCTGGCCGCAGTAGCCAGTTCGTATTTTTGGCAGGCCCAATCTGTCCTTCTGCCTGGGGCCTGTGGATCATGGAGGAAGACAGAAGGTGAGAGAAGGTGGTGTCTGTGTGTTCGGCCAAGACAGGGAAGAGAAAGAGAAAAGATAGTGGCAGGAAGGGGAGAGGAGTGACCCTGCCCACTCTTAGTTCCAACTCTGTTCAGCACTGGCTTCAGGCTTACTCACACCTGTCATGTGTCTGCTTTCCCCCAGCAGATAACTCTGGAGAGAATGTGGCCCTTAATAGTAAAAGGGCTGCTCATCCCTGGTGTAGAAAAACATTCAAAAACAAATCCTACTCTTATGTTCAACATTTTGCTGACAATGGGCAGGCTGTGTCCATAGTCATGTTACTGCTTTTTCCTTGGCCTTGATCCCACTTGTGACTTCTGGTAGAGTCATTGCACATTACTGGTGGCGGAAAGAGGCCTGCATTAATTTCCATAACTCTTGCCATGAAGATCAGAAATGGTCTAATTCTCATTTAATTTTAATTCCTTGGAATTAAAGTAGCTGTTACTGTAACTTCACAGAGCTCGGTCTTCTTCCGCTTTCTGTACTATTGTGGACTTACTTTGAACAATAATCTACTTTCCTGTCAACCCATTCCCCCTTGTTCTTCCACAGTTGAGTCTACAGATGTACTAGAATGCAACAAAGCTTAGCTAAAATGTGAGAAACAAAATCACAACTGAAAAAGCAAAACTTTCTGAAGGAGGGGAATGACAGTTGTAATTTACGTCTTCTAGTTGTCTACCCCTTTGAATCTTGGCAAGAATAGACTGTTTCCACTAACTGTTTCAGGGGAATTAAAAACAATTTAGCAGGTTTTCTTCAGAAGTGAATTCTGTAAACAAGGGCCCACCATTGAAATTGTCATGTTTTGTGCACAGGGCTGTTTTTATTTCAGAATGCACTGGCAGCTGCAGAGGGCCTTTTTAAATCTCAGTTCACCTTAGACAGTGGCACATATGGGGGAGAATAATCCCCTAGGTATCCTCAGCCCAGACTGAGGATCTAAGGCTCAACATCTGTGATAGAAATAAAGTTCTTGAGTTACTAAGTCAGGACCAGGTCAACTCTGCAAGCAACCCAAACAGTGGCTTGGGATAGTAATATTTTAAGAAGTACCAGTGAAGCAAACAGATATCATCTGACGGATGTGCCTTGTGACCCCTTGCAGTGCCATAAAGGATACCTGGATGCAATTGAAAATGTTGCTAATAAAGCTTCGATCTCTCATCTTCAAACGCTGATTGGATTGGCGTGGGGTATCTCTTGGCACATGCAGTGCCAATGGCTTAAAGTAGTGGTACACAGGTTTAGCAGTTCCTGTGGCCATTTTCAGCCTGGGGGAGCCTGCTGCAGGCTGCACTCCTACAGCTGTCACTGTGTGATGCTAATATTTGATGCATGGCAGTGGAAGAAGACCACCAGACACTTGTAGTTCTATAAAAATGGTGGTTTTGCCTTAACACAAGACACTGGGTATTTCATGCCTTCTGTTAGAGGAAAATAGGTAGTACCTGAAGCCTTCCTCTAAAACATCTCTAGTGTTCCTCGTTCTAGAATAAACATTTTTGAAGTAGTGTGCTATTGGCATTGGATGGCATTGTGCTGTTGGTCAGCTATAGAGCCTACAGAAATGGCCTAGATGGGCCAGTATGTAGCACATGGATGATGTGTTGCCTACCTCTGTTTTATGTCTTATTGAGGTGTCCTACATTGACTATGACTCTTTGTTCCTTGCATGGGCAAAGACTTTTGAATGAGATTACAGAAGTACTCTAATGCTTCAGTGACTGAGAAATTGGTGCCCTTCACAATATGCTATGTGAGACTTCTGTGGTGGAAGTTGCAACCAACTGTAGACTTTAATTGGTTGTGTTTAGTTCATTTCCATGAAGAATGAGTGTCCTGCAAACATCATAGGAAATAACCAAGTACTGTGATCACCACTTACTCCTGACTGATATTTTGCCTAGGGGCATTTTGTACAGCATATTTTATATTCTGGTAGGCTTTTCTGATCTGCTATACACTGTTTACAGCTATGAAGATTTTTGTAACAACTAAAAATTCCAAAAGCCAAGGAATAGAAGAGGCCTTGAAAAATCGCAATTTCACAGTGGAGAAGATGAGTGCAGAAATAAATGAAATAATCCGTGTATTGCAGCTCACATCCTGGGATGAAGATGCTTGGGCCAGCAAGGTAGGTGTGGTCCCAGTTTTTAAAACAGTGTTAGGGTGCTTCTATTTAAGTTTCCATAACGTGGAAACTTAAGTTACCAAGAATGCATAATTTGTACTTGAAAGAATTTATAGAGTGGCATGGCTTGATTCTGTACATATTTTAACCTCTGAAATTATAGACAAAATTAATTAACTGTGGTGTTTAATTGACTAGTTTATGAACAATAAATGATATACTGTAATAGGAATGTTATAGTATTGATTTGCAGCCTCCATTCAGTTCAAATAGGCTTTTATTTGATTACTTAAAATGTGTATCTCATTACATATAGACACCCTTAGTAAAAGAAATGAAGTGGACCAACTTGGGTAGTTTTCTGTACTATGATTTGGGAAAAGGAACTTAACAATGGGCTTAAGTGCTCCTTCCTCTTCTCCTCCTGTGAGCAGCTTCCTTCACAACCTCATATTTAACATTCACTTTATTTGCTGTAGTAACCAAAGTGGTAGAGAGGCCTGTAGTTCATTACACTGTACTTCTTATTTCCACATCTGGTAGGGGCATGTTCTTTGAAACCGAAGAGTCTTCTTCCAGTTCTCCTCAAAACAGGACATACTTCATGCTAGTGAATGCCAGGAAATGATATTTTAGAAATGTTATAGGAAAACCAGTTCTTGAGTTACAAGCAGAAACACTAGAATTATATTCATATTGAAGTATTTCAGTTAGCCAGGCTAATATATTGTTGCCTCTTACCCTTGATATCAATCTTAGAGTAATCATGGAGAGGACAGAGTTTTCAGGTCTATTAAAATATGTATTGAATTGTCAATTCCTCTTGGAAAATGCAGCCTCAGAATCTCATTCTACCAAATTATTTTGACAAATATTTAACAAGCCAGAATGTCAGAGGTTCAGAAATCCTGTTTAATAACAATGTTAAATACTGTATTGTGGAAGATGAAGATCTGGATGGTTCGCAAAGGGAAACGGGACAAGGAAATGGAATGGGGACATAGGACCCACCCATGCCCAAGGTATTCCTTCGGCTTGGAGGTACTTTATTTAGTAAGCCTGAACAGAACTGGAACATCGTATTAAGCACCTTTTGTTGAATAAAGCTTAGCCCTCAGTTCAGTTTCTACCTTTTCTTGAATTTCTGGAGAAAAAGAGGGCCTCTTTCCAGAAATGTATAAGGACCTTAGGAATCTAAGTGCTGCTCCTCAAGAGTACCAGACTGGCAACTTGAAATGGCTGCTAAAACAAGCCTGGCAAGCCCGGCCTTCTTTTTCAGAACACAAGACGATGCTTCATAACTGCCTAGTTCATTCGCCCAGACCAGTGATGTCTACTCTCACCATTAGTGGCTGTCTTCAATTTCAGACAATTTCTCCATGGCGCTGGCCAGAGACCACTACAGACTGAATCTGGGAGCTATATGCAGAGCATGTGCACTACAAATGAACTACACCAAGTGAAAATGGATTTAGTTCAGGAGCATGTGAGAGGATTCTATTTCCTCTAAAAATTCCCCATTGGCTGAGTATTATGTCACCCAGCCAGGATTACAGTGGAATCAGGTGTTCTTGTCTTATTCTGTAAACCATCTTGAAAGTGAGGTTCTCAGAGAGACGGTGTAGTCTTTCTTTGAACTTGGTTTGGTGACGTTCTGCTGTCATCTTATTGTGGTTATAGTTGGGTTCAATTAAGACTGAACCTCACTGGCCAGTATTCTGTTGAGCTATGAATCCCGTAGGTGTAGCAGCATAAGAGTGTGCCACTTGTCCAAGTGGAGAGTAGCTTTTCTTCATGAAGAGGACCACTTGCATGGTGACAGCATGTCAGTGAATGGTACAACTTTGCATTACTGCCAAGACTTTCTACTTTGGGGAAGCTCAGTAATATCCTGGCATCTGTATTCTTGTAATTTTTTATGTAGCAAATTAGATTGCATTCTCTTCAGTGCAATGTTCTTTTGAGTAGATGAGTACAGTGGTGCCTCGACTTACAAACGTGATCCGTATTGGAATGGAATTCGCCAGTCAAAATGTTCATAAGTCGGAGCACCATTATCCATAGGAATGCATTGAAAACCGATTAATCTGTTCCGGCTGAAGAAGAAAAAATCACCAAAAATTTAAAAAGAACACACCACGTCCGGTCAGAAGGCGCTCCCTTGCTGAGGTTTAAGAAGGAAAAAAACCTCCAGAAACAAACACTAAAGCCACCTCCCTTGCTGAGGTTTAAGAAGAAGGAAAAAAAAACCTCCAAAAATAAACAGCAAAGTCACCAACAACACAGCACAACTTAACCGCCCCAGCCAAAACCCACCTAGAACAGTTTTTTAAAAGGAGAAAACAGCAGCTTACCTCCCTGCAGACACACACACACTCACTCCAAAGCAGGAGGACGACACACTCTCTAACTGCTGAAAGTGAAAGAGCTACGCTACAGTACAACGCAGCCTTGTCGCCACCTACAGTTAGAAATCTGAATCGCCCGCCTTTTTCCCTTGCCTTTTTTCTATTCGTTAAGTGGAAGCTCCATTTGCAAGTCGAAGCAAAATGTTGCGACCAGAGCTGTTTGTAAGTCAAAATGTTCGTAAGTAGGGATGTTTGTAAATTGAGGCACCACTGTACTTAAATATCCATTAACAATCATTTGTGAACGTAATTACTTAAAACCAAAACTCTTAAGTGTTGTTTTTTTTTTAAAAATATTATTATTATTTGTTGTTGTCAGTTAACCAGTATTCTCAAATATCTGGGATGCGAGGGGGGAAAAAACAAGGTATTTCCAAATAGATTTGTGAGTCTTTTCTTTGAGAGGACTACAGTCTGTGTATTCATGCCCATCATTCTTCCCTGTTGAACAACCCATTTACTTCTTATCATGACTTCTTTCATGCATCTTTTTGTTCTTCTGTGTGTTTTCTTTTCTTGTGTGTTATATTCTTTTCTCACCTTTTTAGAAGGTAAGATGGGTTCTGCAACCTGCCATGTTTATCTTTTGTACTAAAACAGAAACGCATGGCCATGGGATGTTGTGCTGTGTGCAGACTGTGTGCGGTGCATTTTTCTGTGTGTCGGTTGTTACACTGTACTGTACTCACTTCTGAAGGCAGGAACATTAAAATGCACTGAAAGCACTACCAGCTCCACGGTGAGGTATGGAGTGGTTTATGAAGTGATGACAGCCATCCATACCATCTCAGGGTGTGCTAATGCGGGTTTAATGATGACAGGTTTCCTGGTGGATGTGAAGGTCTAAATTTCTGCTTCTTGCTTCTATAGCTTATGAGCATCTTGCCATCTCAGAGTAGGTATTTTCATTTCCTTTTCTTTCTTCCCTACACAAAGGAGATCTGGTAAATGTCTCAAACGTGTGCTGGCTACTATTTCCCCTCTTGTTAGCTTTATGAAAGAAGGGGAAAGGATATGTTTGTGAGCATTGGTTTTGGTTTGCACTGTAACTGGAAACAGATGCAGGTTGAGTTTGATTTAATTGAGGAAGTTGTACAGTGGCAATGCAGTGGTAGCATACAAAACGATGCAGTATTTTTGGAAGAGTAAGTTACGACTTGATTCTCAGTGTGGGGTAGTGGATAGAGTGGAAGTGGTAAAACCACTCCTTAAATACCTTACTTAGCTTTTAAGTAAGACTAGTACTCTGGAGAGCAGGGTTCAAATCCCCACTTGGCCATGGAAGTTCACTGGGAGAGTGGAACTGGTAAAACCACTACTTAAAACTCACTTACCTTGAAAGTCCTATTAGGATCGCTATAAGTCAGTTCCGACTTGATGGCACAAAATGCACACAAGTTAGGACTTAGAATCAAGCTATCAGTAACCGTGATCCAAGGGAAGCCAGTTCTGGGTACAGTGGACATTGCGTTCAGTGAACTGTGAACAGATTTCGAAGATGAATAGCTATGGTAACACACTGCTTCTTCTTACAGATACATCCATATACTAAGTCCTAAGGCTAGTTGGTACTTCTCTGCTGGGTGGCATTTTTATCCCCTAAGGTTTTTTGTTTTTTTTTCGCATTTAAGTGTTATTATAAATTCCTCCTCCTTTTTTTCTACTTCATTTGAGTCAGAAGCAATCCAGTGGTGCTCCTGGAGTGGAGGATGAGCCAGCAGTCTGCTGTCATTGCCCATTGGGTGCCCAAATGTTCTCACAGCCCTCATACTCTTTGGGGAAGCTCTTTTTGTGTTCCCTGTAAACTCCACTGTTATTTTAAGAGAAACCTAGCTTTTTTTGGAATCCTCTGTAGTGGAGGTGGCTTCTAAAAATGAGGAGCAGGTTATCTTAGCTGAGGTATCCAGAAGTAGCTGAAGGCAGCAGATCATGTCATGTACAAAAAAAAACTGTTTTTAGAAACAAGTTTTTAAAATTATAAATAATTGATCAACCCAGAATCAGAAATCAGGGCATCTTTTTAGATTAAAAGATCTTCCAGATTGGAAATCTGCAGATTGAAAGGAACAATCCTGACTGGAGATTATGTTGATTTTTTTTTGTTAATTCTGAAATATATTTGTTCTTGCATTTTCATATACACTTTCATCCTAAATATAAACATGGGAGGCGTGGTGCAGCTTGACAGGTGCCTGTTGGAGAGAGTCCTGCAGAGATCAAAAGAGCTGGATTTAGGGCGAGGGTTATGCTAAATGGTGCCTAGCTAAGAAATTCCATCAGTGCACTTTTCTGTTTGTGTGGTGCAGCAATACTCCCACACTCCTATTTTAAATGTTATACGGTATTGCGGTCCATAGATTGAATCGTTATGCATGTACGAGTCACTGAACTACAGCTGATACTTCCTTGTGCAGGGTTGTAATACTGCACCAGCATTCGTACATTCTGTTAGTAAGCTTTGCCATGTGTTGAGATCCATAGAATGTGCTGCCCCTCCTTGCTTTCTCTCCATTTCTCTCTCTGCATCTGAGTACACCCACCCACATACAGTACTTCAAAAGTTCCTTTCTGTATCTGTAAGAGGGTAGAATGAAT